GCTTGCAGTGAGGTCTAGTTGTCAACAAATATAATTGTCAATGCTAGGTACAGTACATTTGTTATAGCCTTAGTTAGGTCAGTTCTTAGAGGGTACATTCCCACCTTTGTAACCCTCAGCCTTCCTCCCTTAGTCACTTTTCTCTCTAACATGGTGTCAGAGCTAGGTCTCGCCCTCTACTCACGCTTCCTCCCTATCACACCCTAGCCTAGCGCGCCTTGCCCCTAGTTGCGCGCCTTGTAGATCGTGCCCTCCCCGCCCTCCTCTGCTCATCGCGTAGTTCGCGTCGGCTAGCGCCAGCCGCCACCAGCTAGTGCCGACCAGTACCAGCCGCTACTAGCCCGCACCACATTGGCACCTTCGTTAGTCGCCGATCCCCCCCCTCCTCGCTCCGACGCTGTTCGCACAGCTAGTCCAGTCCTGTCGCGCCTACTTGCGTCGCTTGTCACTGACCCTAGTGCTCCTCCTGAGTCAGTCTCCGCGCTGGTCGCTGCTATCGCTGACTTTGCTGCTAGCCACCGCCTTGACTACGCTGCCGCTCTGGTCGCTGGTACTGTCCGTCCTCCATCCGTCGGGGGTGCACCTGCCCTTGGCAGTGACGTGCTAGAGGACAGGCAGTACGAGTTGGCCTACCTTTGCTGCCGCTGTTCCCCATCTCTTCTCCATGCTTGTATCCCCAGAGGGCGACCCAGACGCTCTCGACATCCCTGTTCCGCACTCTTACACTGAGGCGGTGTCGAGGCCCTGGGCAGCCCAGTGGATACAGGCCATGGAGACTGAGATGGCATCCTAAAGATCTACTAGCACCTACGTTGACGCAGTTCCCCCGCCTGGGGCGAACGTAGTCGATGGCATGTGGATCTACAGGGTGAAGCGTGCACCTGGAGAGCCTCCGAAGTTCAAGGTGCGTTACGTGGCTAGAGGCTTCAGTCAGCGTGAGGGAGTGGGACTTCTTCCAGACCTTCTCCCCTACCCCGAAGATGACTACTCTTCGGGTCCTTCTTCACATAGCCGCACAGCGTGATTACGAGCTTCACTCACTCGACTTCTCCACAACGTTCCTGCAGGGTAGTCTGCACAAGCAGATCTACCTCCGGCACCCTCTAGGCTTCTCTGGGTCCTTCCCATCTGGAACCCAGTGGAGCCTGCGCCGTCCCGTCTACGGCCTTCGTCAGGCACCCCGCGAGTGGCACGACACGCTTCGCACCACTCTTGCTGAGCTGCAATTCTTTCCGTCCTCTGCTGACCCCTCTCTCTTTGTTCGCACGGGTCAGACACCGTTCTACATTCTAGTGTACGTAGATGATCTTATCTTTGCTACTCCCAACATAGTGGCACTGGCCTCAATGAAGGCTGAGTTACTTAGGAGACACATCTGTACAGACTTGGGGGAGCTGAGGTGCTATCTGGGCTTGGAGATCTCTCGTGACCGTGCCGCTCGCACGATCACACTCTCCTAGTCCCATATGGTGCAGCAGATCCTCCAGAGGTTTAGTCTCTAGTTCTCCTCAGCACAGCCCACCCCCTTGCCTGTGGATCACAAGCTCTTTGCTCATGTTCCGGCTGAGCCGGTCGAGGCTAGTGGTCCATACGCAGAGCTGGTGGGGTGCCTCATGTACCTGATGACCTGCACTCAACCAGATCTAGCGTACTCTCTCAGTCTCCTGGCTCGCTTTGTCGCAACAGGCAGGCACCGACCAGTCCCTTGGTCGGCTGCCAAGAGGGTATTGCGGTATCTGATGAGCACATCAGGACTGGGGCTTGTGCTAGGAGGATGGGAGCGAGTGGTGCTCACTGGACACACAGACGCGTCGTGGGCAGACGACTTGGAGACGCTCATATTGACTCAGGGCTACTGCTCTAGTCTTGGTGCTGGTGCAGTCTCGTGGAGGTCCACCAGGTCATCGTCTGTAGCTCAATCTAGCTGTGAGGCAGAGATCTACGCTTGGGCCATGGCTTCTCAGGAGCTCCGCTGGCTGACGTTCTTGCTCACTGACTTAGGTGAGCAGCCTAGGTCTGCCCTGGTCCCGTTTGCTGAAAACAGGGCCATGATCCTCTTGTGTCAGGAGGCACGACTTGAGGGCAGAGCAAAGCACATCCAGTTGCGGTACTTGCTGCTGCGAGAGTTGCAGCAGCACGGTCAGGTCCGTGTAGTACAGTTGGCCTCAAAGGCCAACACCGCTGATATCTTCACCAAGGCACTTGCGTCTCGTGACCATCAGCGGTTCTGTATTCAGCTTCGTCTAGCCTCAGTAGCAGCACCTCTCCTTGTATCCTGAGTCATACTATACCTGCCCATACTTGTTGTGTTATACCTGCTTGTCTTGCTACACTTGCAGACTAGCCTTGTGGCCTCTTGACTCAGTGGTCAGACTAGTAGTACTGCCCTGAGTTTTCTTATTACACTCATCAGAGGTCGGACTAGTAGTGCTGCTTGTTGGAATGATGGAATGAACTAGAATGAGAGAGTACAAGAGAATATAGGCCAGTGTTGTACCCTCTAAGGCACAAACCAATATAGTCTACAATAACATACTAAGATATGTTTTGACACACCCCCTAGACTGTATAGGGGCAGTGCCTAACAAATAGACAAGCAACTCAGGGTGGCACTACTAGTCCAGCCTCTGAGACAGGGGAATAGAGACCAGTCACATGAGTACAAACCAAGACAGGAGCAAGAACAGGGCGGCACTACTTGTCTAATCATTGGGAGATGCCACAAGGCCAGTCAGAGCATACATATATATGTATAAGTCTGTACACAATCAAGGCCCTAGCAAATGTGAGGCTACAGGAACAAGGCCAAGCTGTACACAGTGCCGCTGATGATCTTTAGGCGCAAGCGCCTTTGTAAAGATATCAGCCGTGTTGGCACCGGAGGCCAAGTGTACTATGCGGGCCTGGCGGCGCTGCTGTAGCTCTCACAGGAGGAAGTACCACAGCCGGATGTGCTTCGCTTTGCCCTCAAGCCGAGGCTCCTGACACAGGAGGATCATGGCCCTGTTGTCAGCGTATAGAACCGGGGCAAAGCTAGGCCGCTCACCTAAGTCCGCGAGCACGAAGGTCAGCCAGCGGAGCTCCTGTGCCGCCATGGCACCGGCGTAGATCTTAGCCTAACAGCTGGACTGGGCAACAGACGAGGAGCAAGTAGCTCTCCACGAAACAGCACCTGAACCGAGGCTAAAACAGCAGCCCTGGGAGGACCTAATGGTCTCAGTGTCGTCTGCCCAAGAAGCGTCTTTGTGTCCACTAAGGACCACTGGCCTGCGTCCTCTAAGCACCAGCCCCATGCCCGATGTACTCGCAAGATAACGCAAAACCCTCTTAGCGGCCGACCAGTGCTGAGGTCGGTGTCGGCCTGTGGCCACAAAGCGGGCCATGATGCTGAGAGGGTATGCGAGATCTGGGCGAGTGCAGGTCATCAGGTACATGAGGCAACCCACCAACTCAGCGTAGGGACCACTGGGCTCTACTGACTCCTCAGGAACAGGAGTTGATAGCCTGCGGTCTACTGGTAGAGGTGTGGGCTGTGCGGAGGAGAACTGAAGGTCGAACCGCTGAAGGACCTGGCGCACCAAGTGTGACTGTGAGAGAGTGATGGTGCACGTTGCTCTGTCCCTGGATATCTGCAGGCCAAGGTAGTGGCGCAGTTCTCCTAGGTCAGTGCAGGAGTGTCTCTTTAGCAGCTCTGCCTTCACGAAGGCCAGCGCTTCCCTGTCTGCAGTTGCGAAGACCATGTCGTCTACGTAAACAAGGATGTAGAACAGGGTCTGGCCAGCAGGAACGAAGAGTGAAGGGTCAGCAGAGGACGGGAAGAACTGCAGGTCAGCTAGCGTGGCGCGTAGTGTGTCGTGCCACTCACGGGGTGCCTGTCGTAAGCCATGGACTGGACGCTGCAGGAGACACTGGGTCCCATGAGGGAAGGTACCAGTAAAGCCCTGAGGACGACGCAGGTAGACCTGCCCGAGTAGGCTGCCCTGAAGAAACGCTGTGGAGAAGTCAAAGGAGTTTAGCTCGTAGTCGCGCTGAGCTGCTACGTGCAGTAGTACCCGAAGAGTAGTCATCTTCGGGGTCGGTGCGAAGGTCTGGAAGATGTCCACCCCCTCTCGCTGACTGAAGCCTCTAGCCACCTAGCGTGCCTTGAACACGGGCGGCTCTCCAGGGGGGCGCTTCACCTTGAAGAGCCAGCGGCCATGGACTACGTTCACCCCAGGTGGGGGAACTGCGTCGACGTACAATGACGGAACAAAGTGTCCGCATGTTGGCCATTTTTGTAAGTAAAATGTATAAAACATGAATATTAGGAGTGTAGAGTTATCCTGGCCATTTGAGGTTGGTAGACAAATGGCCTAGCACATCTTTGCTGCAGCCACTTGCCCATTTTAGACTAGTAAAATAGAAGTTGTGAAGGCAGAATTATAATGGGTACATTCGGACAGTTTGTTCCCAAATCAAACAAGGCATTGTAGTGTCGTGAATTAGTAACGAGTCCATCTCCCCTTTGCCCTAACTGATGGAAATCGTGCAAATCTGGAATGAACTAATTAGAGATTAAGTTTGACGATCTCAACAGAACATTGCGTGCAGCTCAGGTAACTTCTAGAAATGAGCTTATACGCGTTGGAAAGGTCTTAATCTCTACTTTCCAGAATGGTAAAGCACGTTCATAACCAAGATCTGAGCCGCCGATTATGACGAAATCAGTGTGAGGGGATATTCTGGTAATTTGGCTAGGCAGCCATGAATCACCTAGTAAAAACGAGAAGGCAAGCAGTTCGATCTGGAAAAGTTGCAGTATGTGATTTTCAAGCACCACCAACCCTTGCCCTAGACCAAACCCCAACACTCTCAAGTGCCGCGACTGCAACATCAAAGATGTTGTAGTGGGTTTGAGGTTGTATGTGTTGGTAAGGTAACGAGTTCAAACCTTGCCAACCAGCCCAAGTCCTTTTGCCCAAAAACCAATAGCCCACAACCAGCTAGAGCAAACTACACCACAGAATAATACACATTTATCACTCCCCCTTGCTCGTGCTGGGTGTGGCTCAACACCATAGGGCAAAAGACTTCACACCACTCCCCCTTGCCCATGGGTTGGGGCCACCCAGAGCATGGAGTCCGCCAAGGAGAGGAGCACCAAGACGCCGGCATCTGCTGCGGGAACCCGGTCATCATGGGGCTGCATCCCGAGCAAGGTCATGCACACACCATGGCGCTCAAATGGAAGAGCCTTGGTAAGGATATCAGCAGCCTGACGGTTGGTGGGGCACCACTGCAAAATCACCTCTCCCGCAGCCACCATCTCCCGAATGAAATGCCACCGGACCTGCATGTGTTTGGTGCGGCCATGCAAGCATGCATTCCGTGCAAGGGCAATGGCAGACTGATTGTCCACAAACACAGGCACACCACCAGTATGAGCATGGCCAAACTCCCCAAACAAACGCCTCAGCCACACACCCTCCTGAATGCACTGACACAGACTTATGTACTCACTCTCAGTGGTAGAGAGTGCCACCACGGGCTGCCTCTTGCTCTGCCAAGAGATAGCTGCCCCATTCAGGCAAAACACATACCCACTGTGACTCTTGCGACTTGCGGAATCTCCAGCATAGTCGGCATCACTGAAGCCAACCAGCTGAACCTGAGATTGGGGCTGTGTTTGGAAGAAGATACCTGACTTGACACCACCTTTCAGGTACCTCAGCACTCTCTTAGCTGCCTGCAAGTGGAACATTTTAGGACAAGAGGCGACCTTAGATAGCTGTGAGACTGCGAATGCAATCTGCGGCTGTGTGGTAGTACAAGCATACATGAGGGATCCCACAATGCTTTGGTAGAGCTTGACCAGCTCATCTCGCAGCAAAGGTTCATCCTCATAGGCATGCACATCAAAGCCTGTCGGCAGAGGAGTACGCACGGGGTTGGCCTCTGAAAGACCAAAGGACTGAAGCATGTTAAGAATGTACCTCTCTTGATGAATCAACATACCACTCTCATCACGTTCAATTTGCATTCCCAAGTAGTACTTCACCTCCCCCATGTCCTTCATGCGAAAACGTAAGGACAAGAAGTCTTTCACTCGATCTAACAAAACCTTACTAGAGCATAGGAGCAAAAGGTCATCCACATAGAGGAATAAGGAGATCCTCTCCTCATCTCTCACAAAGTGGTACAAGGCAGGGTCACACTCAGATCTCTCAAACCCAAAATCCATGAGAGCCTCATCAAATTTCAGGTACCACTGTCGTGGGGCTTGCTTCAGCCCATAAATGGACCTTTTGAGGCGACACACTCGGTTAGACCCATCATCAAAACCAGGGGACTGCCGCATGTAAAGCTCTTCTTCCAAATCCCCATGGAGGAAGGCTGTCTTGACGTCCATATGATGGATGTCAAGCTTCAAAGCAGCCGAAATTCCAAGCATACCTCTCAAGGTCGCATGCTTCCCAACTGGAGAGTACGCTTCTTCATAGTGTACTCCCAATTTCTGCATGTTTCCAATCACCACCAATCTGGACTTAGGCCTCTCAACGGTACCATTAGGGTTATGTTTGTATTTCCAAACCCATTGACACCTGAGGACCTCCAAACCAGGTGGTACCATTGCTGGATCAACAAGCTCAAATGATCCATTTACCTTGTGAGACTCAAGCTCCTCATGCATGGACTCAACCCATTCGGGACGGTTCAGCGCCTCGTGGACTGACCTAGGCTCATGTACCTGACCCATTAGACACACATCAAGAGCATACTCATGCCCATGCATGTCCACAAGCATGCAATCATCCAAATCAGACACAAGATGATCATGCATGCGTGCAATGTGCCCCGGGGTAAACCTTTCAGGTGGCTGGGAAATTCGAGCACTGCGTCGCAGAGGTGTTGCCTCTCCTTCTTCCAGCCTCTGCAGCTTCTCCTCCCAAGTCACCCTCTTCATTGGAGTCCTTGGAGTCTTGGACAGCTGCTGGTTCAACAACTGCTGCCAACTGCTTCTCGATGGAGTTGAAGGCACATGCTGCTCTGGCTGATCATCATGCGCATCGGCCTGCGTGGCTGGCTGAGGGGTAGAATCTGTCTCTCGGGACTCCTCATGGTTAGAATCAGCTGGTTCTGGCTCCTCCTGCTGCTCCTCCCCTTCATCTCCAGGGTCCTCCCATGCCCCCTCAAAGATAGAGGCTGTATGAGGGTCTTGATTGGAAGTCCCACTATGGCTTGCACCACGCTCCTTCCACCCCTTATAATTCAGCCCCTCATGGAAAATCACATCACGGCTCTCCATCACACGCTGGTCAGCTACACTCCATAGCACCCAAGCCTTGCTCCTCTCAGAAACCCCAAGGAAGATCCCCCACTGTGCCTTAGGATCTAGCTTCCTCCTTTGCTGGTCAGGTACCTTATACTGTGCCATGCACCCCCACACTCATGCCATGGAAACATTCGGCACCTTCCCTGTCCATAAGGAGTATGGGCTCTTGCCTCCAAGCCCCTTGCTGCCCATCCTGTTCTTCACCCAATTGGCATACTGCACTGCTGCCCCCCACCAAGTGTTATCAAGCTCGGCATGGGCAAGAATGGCCCGAGCCAAATCGGTCAAAGTCCTGTTAAGCCGCTCCGCTGCCCCATTTTGCTGCGGCGTGTAAGGTACAGAGAGCTGGTGGGAAATACCCTTTTCTTCCAAGAAGATTTGAAGTTCTTTCCCAAGGTACTCTCCACCCCGATCTGACCTTAACACCTTTACTTTGGCCCCTGATTCCCTCTCCACCTAGCGTATCCACCGCTTAAACACCTTTGCCACCTCATCCTTGGTCTTCACCAAGGTGACCCAGCTAAGTCGACTGAAGTCATCAAGAAAGGTGACAAAGTACCTGCTGCCCCTTTCCCGGTCAGGAGTTTGCATCGGTCCACACACATCCGTGTGTACAAGCTCAAGGGGAGTCGAGGCATGATCAGAGGAGATAGGGAATGAGGTTCTAGGCAGCTTTCCAGATGTGCAGTCAGGACATTTTCTCTGCTGCCCAGCTCCTTCCTTGACCTCCACCCCCTTCAGCTCCCCCTTCTTCACACACTCCAGTAGTTGCTGCTTCCCCGCGTGCCCCATGCGAAGGTGTAGCAACTCAGGTGACACTGTTTCCACCTGCCTCCAGCGAGTGCTACAAGCGGCTTCCTCAGAAAAAACCATATGTGCCTTGTAACAATTAGGCACACAAGCTGGAACAAGGTATAAACCCTTGTCCAGCTTTGCCTCCATCACCACAGCTTCACCCTTTCTAACAGTGCACCCTCCCTCAGTGAAAGTGCATATGTATCCCTGTTTAGCCAGCTGCGAGCATGAAAGGAGGTTTGCAGCCAAACCAGGGACGTGAAGGACCCCCTTCACACCCACTAGCTCCCCCTCCTTCCCCTTAATGGTGATCGTGCCGATGCCAATTGCCTGCAGCAAATCTCCGCTCCCAACAATCACTCTCCTAGAGTTTGGTGGGAGAGGATGGTAGGAGGTGAAAAGATCACGGCGAGGAAGCATCCCAGATGTTGCTCCAGAGTCTAGAACCAGGAAGTTGGGATCAGCCAATGCACGACCAGCGAGAGATGCATCCTGCCCTAGCATGAGAAACGAGAAACCATCATCGGAGGAGTCGTCTTGGCCCTTCCCCTTCTCATCCTTAGCAGCTGCGGCCGTTGCTCCCTTGCTGCCCTTCTTATTCCAGAGCCCCTTCTTCATCCTTTTCTCCACCCAATCAGGTTTGGTCACTGGTGGGGCCTCTCCAGAGTAGCCGTGAGGCTTCCATCCCTCAGGCCTACTCCAGCAACTCTTCCAAGAGTGTTTTTTGTTGCATCCGGGCACAAGGCATTTGTCCAACTCTTTCTTCTTCCCCCCACCTCCTTGCTGTTGATAGCCTTTCCTGAAGGAAGCTTTATCTGCTGCCCCCATGCCTCCTTCTAGGCCTCTTCCAGCATCAACCTTGCGAGCCTCATCAGAAATTAAAACCTCCCAAATCCACACCTTGGTCCATTTCTGTTGCTCGAGGTGAAGGTACTGTAGTAATGCCTCATTAGCCGCTTGATCCAACCCTTGGAGTGCAGTATAGATGATCTCCTTCTCATCTACCCTGTAATCTAGCTCCTCCAAAGCCCTCACATTCTCATCCACCCTCTGGAGATACTGAACCATGGTCTCCCCCTCCCCATAGTTCCGCTCCATGGTGTAAAACCGCTTCCGCCAAGTAAGCACGCTTAGAAGCCCTTTCTGCAAGTGCCTATCTTGCACTCTTTTCCAAGCTGCAGCTGCTGCACCTTCCTTCCCCTTCAGGTCAATCAGCATCTTAAGAAGCTCAAGTTGCCCCTCCAAAGCCCAACACAGGTACTGAAATGCCTGGCGATCCTTCCGATCCCACGCTTCTTGAGCTTTGAGCAACTCCTCGCGACTTGGTTGCGACCTTCCGGTTCAAGTTGCAGCAGTTCCTCCTTCATTCCCCCCACTCAACGACGCTCCCCCAGCCCCGGATCCCACTTGGCTGGTTGCTCCAGTAGACGCCTCCCCAGAGTCAGCTCGTGGTCGCTTCTCCGATCCATCCAACACACTTTCTAGGTCCTTAATACCTAGCCATAGTGTGAACTGGAACCTCCATAGCGAAAAGTCCGAGCCGGTAAACCTAGGAGGGCCATCCAACTTTTGGGCCATTTCAAACACTACATCTGGAGCACTTCAAGCCTCTCTAGATCTCTTCCAATGGAGGAAAGAACGTCCTCTAACCGTGGCTCTGATACCACTGATGGAAATCGTGCAAATCTGGAAAGAACTAATTAGAGATTAAGTTTGACGATCTCAACAGAACATTGCGTGCAGCTCAGGTAACTTCTAGAAATGAGCTTATACGCGTTGGAAAGGTCTTAATCTCTAATTTCCAGAATGGTAAAGCACGTTCATAACCAAGATCTGAGCCGCCGATTATGACGAAATCAGTGTGAGGGGATATTCTGGTAATTTGGCTAGGCAGCCATGAATCACCTAGTAAAAACGAGAAGGCAAGCAGTTCGATCTGGAAAAGTTGCAGTATGTGATTTTCAAGCACCACCAACCCTTGCCCTAGACCAAACCCCAACACTCTCAAGTGCCGCGACTACAACATCAAAGATGTTGTAGTGGGTTTGAGGTTGTATGTGTTGGTAAGGTAACGAGTTCAAACCTTGCCAACCAGCATAAGTCCTTTTGCCCAAAAACCAATAGCCCACAACCAGCTAGAGCAAACTACACCACAGAATAATACACATTTATCACTAACAACAGCCTTAATCCTCCTGGGCATGCTATCTATCAGTCCCCTACAAACATCAGCGGAGATACCCTCCCAAGTCTCCTGCACACGCTCCCAAGTCTGCAGCATGCCTGTGGGGGGGCGTTCATACTTTGCAAGCTCACGTTTGAGGTGAGCCCAAAGGTGTTCAATGGGATTAAGGTCAGGGGAGGAGGAAGGCCACTGCAGGACTGCGTATGGCTGCTCAGAGAGAAACTCCTGCACAAGTTTACTCTTGTGCTTTGGATCATTATCATGCCATAAAATCACATCAGATGCAATCAAAGAGTAATAATCGATCGTTTGAGAGAGCTCGTCCTGCAGGATCGAGCGGTACAGCTGCCCATCCATGTGCCCCTCAATTTTACACATGAACCCGGGCCCATCATAGGACATACAGCCCCATACCATTAAGGATCCGCCCCCATGCTTCACATACTGTTTTACCTGATGCCCTTGAAGGGCCGTGCCAACGAGGATCCATGCATAGGTGCGGCCATCACTACAGAAGCGGATGATTTTGGTCTCGTCAGACCAGATTACCCGCTTCCAGTCTTCGATCGTCGAATCCAGGTGGGCCTGTGCGAATTCCAGTCTGTCCCGAATGTTTCTTAGGTTGCTGTACAGCAACGAGGCCGGACTACTTCAGTGCGTTTCAAACCGTTCGCGGGCACACCTTGATGCCCAGCTCCGACTCGAGTTGCTTAGCCGCCTCTACACTCGTTTTCGCGGTGCCAGAATTCACCGCATGCACAAGCCCCCGTCGCATCCGCACGAAGAGCAGGCTTGGCCAACCGTTTTGAGGAACGGTCGGTCTAACAGCTAGGCGATCGTCGCGATGACATGCCAACTCCGCATATTTCTGAACTGTGCTCTTGCCTAAGTCTAACGTGCGAGCGATTTTACAAATGCTTAGACCCTGGCGCATTAGGGTTGTAATTCTCTCTCTAATGCGCGACTTGATAGGGCGCATCCTACTCTGATACTTGCTTAGGGTCTAGTCGTGCTGTGGGCTAAATGTCGATGCCTATCCAATACCGAGGGTGAAGTGCAAGGTCGAAATGGTTCTAGAGTCTCGGCAGAAAGTAAGTGTCCACATGGACCATCGTGGCTTTATTTTGTGTACTTGTTAGTGCTGATTCGATATTAGCAACTACCAACACATTTTTCACTACCCTAAACCACCCACATTTGATGTCACCAACACTTTGTGGTCAGCTACATTCTCTCAACATGGTTAAAAACGAGTTATTTGATAACAAGCCCAACATTGGATACTGTTTATTCCGTTACTGTAGGTGCCGGTGGACCTCCAAGATGCCATCTCCTGCTCCATGGCAGCTATCCACTGAGAAGCCCAGGGTCCCGAGGTGGCCTCAGCGTAGGTACGAGGGGTCGGGATGTCAAAAGCGTCTGGGTCACCCTCAGGGACTAGTAGTATGGAGCAGAGATGCGGAGCAACCTCGGACAGGAAAGCAAGCTCGTATTGTCGGTCCTCCAAAACGTCATTGCCAAGGGCAGGAGCACCCCCGACGGACGGAGGACAGGCAGGGCCAGAGACCAGAGCGGTGGCGTAGTCAAGGCGGTGGGTAGAGGCAAAGTCAGCGACAGCAGCTACAAGTGTGTCAAGGGACGAAATAGGAACAGACGGGTCGGTAACGAGAGATGCAAGGACATGAAAAACAAGAGGACGAGCGATACGAAGGTAGTTAGACAGAGGGGGAGGGGCGACAGCAAGAGGGGAGGACGCGACACGTGGGAACGAAGCAACATAGGGTGAGAACGCGAGATAGGGGAGACCGGACGGGCACGAGAGGGACGGCGAGCCCAGACTTGCGACGGGGGCGTCGTGTCGGGAGACAGGGGAGGAGACACAGGAGGGGAACGAGGGGGAAGACAAGCCGGGGAGGAGTCCGGAGGAGGGAACACTGGGCCGTAGACATGAAGAGGAGGAGATAGTAAGAGAGGCGCAGACGCGTGGTCAGGGGAGGGAAGGCCGAGTAGGCGGAGGGCGGACACCGGCGGCGACCGCTGCCGCTGCGGCTGCACGACGCCGACACCTGGACCGCCAGCTGCTACACGGCTACCTCCGGAACACTCCACTCCAGCACCCCCAGAAGGAAAACCCCCAGAACCATAGACCGCCTCAGCACCGGCACTGCCCCCAGGACGGGCACCCTCTTCAGCACCAGCACCCCCAGAGGACATTAACTGCTGCTGCAGTGGGGACAACGGCGGACGCGGCTACAACGGCGGCTGCAGCTGCGACGACGGCTGTGGCTACAACGGCGGCTGCGGCTGCGAAGGCGGAGGAGGAGACACGGTGAAGGAGGCAGTCGGCAAGGACTGCACCACAGGGCCACAAGAGTCTGCAGACTCCTCAACCGGGACAACTGACAGGAGGGGGGTGACGTGAGACACACCAGACGGGGCAGGGCGGGGAGGTGGGGAAGCAGGGGCGACCAGGGGAGGGGGGACCAGGAACAGGGGGGGAGTAATCGGGGGACCACGGTGGGGAAAGCGGCGGTAGAAGGAGACAGACTCGTCAGAGGTGACGTTGCGAGAGTGAAAGAAACGGCGGGTGGTAGAAGTGCCAGTCAGACGAGTCAAGGGGGAAACCAAGGAAGACACAGGGGATGGTGCGGGCAGTAAGCTTGTCCGTGCCAGATGCACAAACGTGAGCAAGGCAGCCCCAGACGTGGAACGCAAACGCGTAACCAGGGGACCCGGTCCAGAGGAGGGTCGGCGAAACTTGCAGTTGCTGAGGGTGCGGCCACAGGTTAAGCTGGTAAGCGGCGTAGCGAACAGCGAACGGCCACAGAAAATGGAGTGCACCAGCATGAAGCATGGAGGTACGAGCCACCTCCATGACCAGACCGATGCGTCGCTCAGCGACACCATTCTTCTGGGTGATGCCCTCCGCACGGCAGAAACGACCAAGGACGCCGGAGGCAAACTCGCCACCACGGTCGGAACGAAGACGCAGGACAGGAAGGCCGCGGTGCACTCGCGCAGAGACCAGCCACAAGATAAGAGCGCCAGGCACGTCGGCCTTCCGCTCCAAGGGAAAGACGGTGGTGTAATGAGTGTAGTCGTCAACAAGGACGAGAAAGTAACGCTCACGACGCGTCCCATGAACTGGGCCCCAGATGTCCATGTGCAAGGTCTGCAAGGGTGCAGTGGTGGGGGGGAACGAGGAGGAGTGAGGGGCATCGCGGAGCCGGCCCTCAATACAGGGGGAACACGGTGGTGCGGGTGAGGGGGGGAGCACAAGGAACGACCCAGGGAGGCCTAGAACAAGAGTGTGCTGAGACATGACGAATACGGGGGAGGGCAGGGTGACGTAGGCGGTGGTGCCACAGTAGCGTCGTGTGAGTGAGCGACCAACACGAGCAAGACACAGCTACCCGAGGAAACACAGTCACCTGGGGAGACGCCACAACCGAGGGGGGGGCGGTGTCCAGTGTGAACAGGCCAGACACTGGGTCCCGGGGGAACGTGGAAAGGGTAGCACCTGTGGCGGACTCGGTACAGACAGCGTACCGCTCATGACCAGGGAACGTAGTGGTGACGCCAAGGTCCTAGAGGCAGCCGACACCAACTAGGTTCCTAGAGAACGAGGGGATGTGCAGGCCTGTAAGGGAGCCCGAAGGAACTGCTGGATAGGGAAGGGTAGTGGAGCTACGAGCTACGACATGGCCGAAGGAGGGGTCGGCCAGGGAAACTGCGGCAGGGGATGGGAGTGGCTTGAGAGCACTGGAGTCCCGGAAGAAGAACCGAGAA